GGTACACAAGGTGAGCCCTCAGCAACCCCACGGTTATCGGAGTACCCCCTCCGTCAGTCGGCAGTCCAGGGCACTGTGTGTCTGAGTGGATCGCAACGCGATTTTGCGAATCCCACTCCACCACACTTGCAGCTACTTCGAATCCGCGATCCGATGGACATTGATGATTTCGTTTGCAATTCTGCTGGAATGGATACAGAGACGGAATCATTTACACGCGATGAGCTGCTAAGCGAGGCAAGTGACGAAGCGTTTCTTGAGACTACCGATGATGACGGCAGGGAAGAGCTCACACAGAATGTTGACACTGCTGAAGAGATCTTCCAGGAAATAACCACCAAAAATCGTGTGGATGCTGTCCGCAATGTGCTGCTTACGCTAATGGATCACCCCGACTTGGAATACACGCTGATGAAGGTCCTTCGCACTCTTCAGTCGCGTGTTCGGGAACATCTTCGAGTTGAAACAGAAGAACCACTTACTCAGACGTCAATTACCAGCTGTTTTACTTCGACTTCACGCTCATAATCCCCACTTGCACATTTGGATTTCGGTCGATATTTTCTATCAGATATCAGGTTTGGGCAATGCACTACGCGACAGGATAGATCGGCCACCCACGTCGGTGGTCATAACTTCGTCAATTTTAGGAGTTGAATCCTGCCATTTAGATATGTTTTATAGCTAATTCAGAGTAAGACGGTGTTTGTGCTAACAATCTGGATTTAGCAGTCTGTCAGATACAGAGCATCGCTTTTGGCACTGCGACAGATTAGATCGGCCACCCCCATCTTTACTAAAATTAAGTATAGTTGTATCAAAAAGATTGAGCCTCATTATTGACAAAGTACATGACGAGTGGTGTGTAAAGCGCTCTTGCCGCTCATCTAGCAAGATCCAGATTGTTAGCACAAACACCGTCTTACTTTGAATTAGCTATAAAACATATCTAAATGGCAGGCTCAAAATTGACGAAGTTATGGCCACCGACGTGGGTGGCCGATCTATCCTGTCGCGTAGTGTATCAACTTTCACTCAATAGTCTGTTAGGAACCGAGTTGGTTCCCTATCATGTATATCAGGATATCACGTATTACAGTGATCATTTAGGACAGGTCTTACTGTACCACTAATGCACAATACCTGTTTAAATCTGTATTTACTTCCAAGATGCAAGAATGATTGCGAACAAGAAATTTCTTGAGAATCCATGAAAATCAGATTTTTCAGCCATCTTGTAAATAACATGGCTTCACGTGTGCATCGGTTGCTCCGCTGCCTGTACTCATAGCCGAACTTGCTAGCTATAACGAACTCATCGCAATCGCGGAGCTAAGCACAATGGCACCACAGACGAGCGAGGATCAAAGTCAGCAGCAGCAGACGAACTCCGTGTGGTGGTGGCGCAGCGTCAACGTTCGTCAGAGCGCCATTCGAGCAGTCATCTACAATGAGACGGAACTCTTGAGCGCTGCTGTACTCTGCGCCGCATTGTCGTCCACCAAAGCATCTCCTTCCACCTCAGATGCACTTGCTAACGCGCGTGCTGCTCGCGAGTTGGAGATGCATGTGCGCAAGTCCCCGCTACCCCACGCGCTGCAGCTTCCGGTGCTCGAATTCACAACGGACTACGTGCTAGTGGAGTCGGAAGGCGCTGTCATCTGCGCCATGCGTGCCACGAGCCCGAGCGACATTGTGCAAGCTGTGGTGGGCTCGGCTGTGCCAATATCGCAGCCGTACATGCATCGCTTTGGTGGATCTCGCGTGCACCCGCCATTCTGGAAACGCGTACAGCGACTGGAGCTCACCAAACTGTACGATCGAGCGCAGCGAGTGGGCAAAATACTACTGCTATGTGGGCATTCAATTGGCGGGAGTACCGCCAAGCTGGCGTTCTGCGAACTAGTGTTTTCCAGTTTGCCGGAGGGCATGCGAGGGATTCTTACAAAGCTCGATGCAGACCAACCGAAAGCTGATGATAAAGGCAAAGAGAAACACTTCCGCAAACACAAGAAGCAGAAAAGCGAATTAGCTGAATGGATGAAGAAAGTTGGGAATAACGACCGCGAAACTGCACTTCAAAATCTTCCAGTAGCAATGGCCGTTGGGTTCGGCGCGCCGTACGCTGGTAACGATGCTCTCACGGCTTTCTTGGAACCGCTAGGGATGAGTGACCGAGTGGTGACTTTTGTCAACGAGTTCGATTGCATCCCCGGAATTCTCAACATTGCACACTCGGCTACTATGCTTGCGAAAACGACCGAGCGGCTGGTGACCATCGCAAAAGCGACGAAAGCGTTGCTCAACCTGCTGCCAGCACCAGTGCAGCAGCGAATTGCAGACATGGCAAAGGGTACTAGTGCAACTGGTGTGCCCAGCGCTACATCAGCGTACCTGTCAATGAGTATTACTATGCTGCAAAAATCATTCGACAAGCTGCGCGAGTTCAACATCGTGAAGACAGTTGACTATCGATATGCTCCATGCGGGAGCTATGTTGTAATGTCGAAGGAGAGTGCAGAGTTCAACATTTTCGCGGACCCAATGCAGATTCGTAAGGCCCTAGGGGAAGATGGAGAGGAAGCTACAACTGGTCTCACTGGAAACTCTATCCTGCAGCACATGATGAGTGCCTATGTGGACGCTATCGCTAGGCGGTCTAGGTCAATCCAGATCAATGCAACCATGAATCATTATGAGCGCCTCGGCGTAGCTCGAAACGCGAGTGACCGCGAGATCCGTAGATCATACAGAGCTCTCGCACTTAGATGGCATCCCGATCGACTTGCGCATGGATCTCTCACCAATCAACAAAAAGAAGTGGCGGAGGACATCTTCAAGCTGTTGGCGGAATCTTACGAAGTCCTTTCGAATAAAGAGAGCCGTCTCGCGTATGATGCGTACCTGAACAGACCACCAAGTCGTAGAGAAGAGTTTATGCAGTACGGTACGGTGGATGGCATCACACTTGACGAGGCGATTTCAACCTTCAAGGATGCCGTCGACAATATCTCCAGCCAACTCCACCGCATGACTGACCGGTTCAGCTTGTCAAGCTCCACTACAGTTGGGCATCCTTTTCAACACAATGGGGGCAAGACATCAGCTACATCTTCTGCTTCCCGGGGACACTCGACAAGCACAGACAGCATGCAGACTTCGGCAACCAATCTTCCTATAACAACTGAAAGTGGCTCAACTGGCGTCGCTACCGCCCCTGCTTCAACTAGTACTGCTCAGCAGGTGTCATCTAATGCTCGGGTTGGATCAAGTGGAGTCTCGTCATCGTCGAGCGGAGTTTCTACTTCTACGGCTGAAGCCTCTAATGCTTTGGGCAGAACGGGCGAGGTGGTGACTAACAAGAACGCAGAGATCTCCACGCAATCCGTAGACACACGAGGCAGCAGCGACAGCATCAGTTCCACTTCAAAGTCGACTAGCACAAGCTTGAAGACAGTCTTAGTTGTTGGAGGAGCTGTGGTTGTCGCTGCCAGTGTGGCGATCATCGTTAGTGCGTGGTCCCAGTTCTCGGAGGCTTCTCGGAAGAAACGTCAAGCTGCTGCTGTGCGTGACATGTCAGGCGATTGCTTGGTACTGCTTATGGAAGACCACAAAAGCGCTCAGCAAAGACAAAGCCGCACTCCAAGCATTCAACTTCTTCAAGAATCTAAGTCCCGACAGATCAAGGCATTCGCAATTGCGAGCACTTCAGCTAATGATGTGAAGCGGGATTCTGGCGACACTAGTTTGTACCTCGCTAAAGAGGCCCAAAAAGCAATTGTTGAGTTGACTAAGAAAAATCAGGAGCAAGATCAAGATGACAAACTCATCGAAGAGTTTTTTGAGTGCGCTACTCAAGACGAAGATGCCGCTGTTGAGGCAATGGCCGAGGAAGAGTTTTTCGACTGCGTGGAGATTTCTCAAGAGGTTGATCAGCATTTTGCCAAAAGTCATGAGAAACTTCGCCATCCACACGGCAAAGGTAAAATTTGTGTGATGTTTCCGCGAGGCTCCAAGGTGAATACTCCGTTTGGACTTGGGGTGGTTGAGAATTGGCGGGAGAATACTGCCGTAGCAGTGATTCGGTGTGAAGACGAGTCTCTTCGCTATATCGACAAGAAGGACATCACTCGCGGTGCGTCCATGGCTCGCAAGCTTACAAACATTGTGGCCGAGGAGAAAAGAACAGAGTTAGCAGAGCGCGTGATCACGAACTATGGACTAGAAGAGACCAAGACGGGGGATCACATTACCAATGTGGCGCTTGCCGGTGCTGGAGGTGCTGTCGACAGTGGACTTCGTGCTGCGGGTGGGTTGGCGCTGGCCAACGGAGTGGCAAGATCGGGAACAGCTCTTGGTGGTATGGTTGCTGCCCCCTTAGCTGTTGCATCCATTCTTGTCGACATTGGGAAAGAATTTTACGACTACCGTAAGAAGCACACGGAGCGAAAGGAGCTCGGAGTGCTTTCGTCTACGAGCGAGCGACTGATGCGACGGGACTTCCGATTGAGAACTGGCGAGGTGGTTGTAAGCCGCACAACGGCCGCTGCTGGCGCAGGTCTAGGTGCGTATGGCGTAGCGTCTGCAATGACGATGTGGGCAGCGGCCGGTGTTGCTACTGGGCCCATCGGAATTGTGGCAGCCACGAGTGCTGCTGTCGTCGGCGGCGTTGCAGGCTACTTTGGTGGAGCTAAGGTGTATTCGCTCTCTACTGCCTCGTATTTTAAGAGTCAGAAGCATGCAAAGGAGCACATCGATCGACTGGAGCTTGGTGCACGAGTGTTATTTGAAGAGCATGATCCGGCGGGTACAGGCGAAATTTCAAAGGAAGCGTGCCTCTCCATAATGCAAAAGTTGTATGAAATCTCCGGAGATACGTCGGACTTTGCGTACGAGGCCAGCGTTGAAGCCATCAAAGACCCTAGCTTTGAAGGACCAGTTACATGGCGAATGTTTTGGATTTGGGTGAGCACGGAGGCTGCGAGGTCACTGAAAAGCCTCGAGCATCAGGAATTAAAGCCACTTCACAATGGTGAGGGTGAACGAAAGCGTGATAAAGTGATACGAAAACTTCGGGAGGCAAAGCAAAGGCATCACGAGAAGCACCACCCAGATGAAAGTGAACGTGACAGTACCAGTTCGAATGGAGTGGATTTCGAAGAAGTCGAAAGAGATATCCACGCTCGAGCTGCCTTTACCCCCGTTCTCCCCGGTGAGGATGACGATCTTGATGAAGTGAAGGCAACAGTCGAGGCTCTTGTTCACTATAATTATTTGACTGCTGGACAAGCTTTTTCGCTATATTCACAGCTCGATTCGAACGACCCTGTCGAGCAAGTGTCAGCTCGCGAAATCATTGCTGCCCTGCAATCAGAGCATGAAAATGCAGAGCCTGAAGTTGAAAGTCCAGACGATTTCGAGCTATTTCCCCTTGCGAAGACTGAGATTAAGGCCGAGAAAAAGAAGGCAGCAGCAGTTTTGATTGCAACTAATTCGAAGGGTAAGCAGATTATGACATCGCAGACGGCAACGGTGTCAATGCTGCCACCACTTGCCCCATCTTCTGAGCAGAAGAAGAAGAGTTCGAAACCTCCTCAAGTTGATCCACGCCTCGATGTTATGTGCTCCTTAATGTCGACCGATGGGCTGAAGCGGTTCCTCGAGACGCAGTACATCATCCCAGAAGATGAGACGATGGCACGCCACGAAGACCTCCACTGCCTAGCACTCGCTTCAGCAGTTCCACCCGCTTCGTCGAGCACGAACGGAGTCGAGAAGAGGTTGAAGTGAAAATTTACATGGCAAGTAGCCGGAAACACGTATGTTTATTAATCAATTGTTACAACTGTCCTTGTGTTGGCGGAGTGATCTCCCACACCTCGATATCTGATGCAACGAAATGTGGATGATACTCGGTCGAATCGATCTCACGTAGCGAAAACTTCCTTGCCTCCATAAGCTCCCAAAATCTCTGCTTGGGCTGGAAATGCTGGTAGTGACGGTGTTCATAGGAAATGAGGATCCGGGTGTGTGGTCTACTGAGCAGTGTCAATGCCTCCACTAGCGGCTCGATCGGATACAATCTTGGAAGGATGCAATCCGACACTAGGATAAGGTCTGGATAGGATTGCGAGACGAGGCTCGCAGACGGAGGCTGGCCCCACTCGTACGCTTCAACGTCAACCTTCACGTGGTTATTAATCGCACCGTCCAGCCGTGCCACGTCTGCGTTCTCCTGCATGATGAAGCGGATGTTGTCCATGTCACTGAGCACGACTCTTCCAGCCCGAAGCAGCATTGCCGCCGCGATACCGACAGCACCCGTTCCACTCCCGAGCTCCAATACAAACGGGTTATTGGAGCCTAGCAGTGCCCTTGGATTGTTAGCTGCTCGGTATTCCAAGTGTTTCAACAGTACACAGGCAGCAGGCCACACTGTGAGCCCCGTGCCGAATCCATTGAGCTCTCCCTGCAGCACTTGCTTGATACGCAGCGGCCTGTCGTTGACAGTCTCCAGGAAATATGGAGCCATGGAGAAGGCATCTCGCCACGCCAGTGTTTGCCACGCTGCCATTCCAGCAACGTCCTTGCCGGATCCCGGCAGCGAAGCGCGTCGTACTTCATCGCTAGTCTCAGCTTGAAGAGCTTCTGCTTTACCTGCCAAATCTGATGAAGAGACCGCCTTAATCTGCTGCTGCTGGACCTTGTACTGCACGCCCTGCCGCAGCAGTTCCATAAACTTCCTCCTGCTCTCGGCGTCAGCCATCGCGTAGATTCGCAAGTGACTGCGACAGATTAGCGCGACGGCTTACAGTAGACTGCGATTGAACTATGTTGAGCAAAGATGCGGTTGACTCAAGATACCATCTGTGTTGCTTCGTTGTATAAACGTATGAACAGTCTAAAAGCACGAGTGAGAACCTAGTGGCGATTAACCCTGCGACGTTGACGTCGCTGATCGTCCGCTATGAAGACTCGTCGTCCGAATCATCGCTCGATTGCTGCAGGAAGGAAGACAGACGCACGGGCGAGGGCGAAGCGTCCCGGTCTTTCCTGCGCGATGACGATTTCTTGCTCTTCTTAGAGCGCTTGCGTCGTCGAGAACGGTCGTCGTCCGAGTCCGATTTGCTATCATCTGAGTCTGAGGTTCTTCGTCTACGCTTGTTGCTTTTCCTGCATGGAAAACAAAACGTTATAAGCTGATGACTATGTCGCCGTCATCACCATTTAGAAGAACTCACTTTTTCTTGCGACTCTTGTGCTTGGAACGTCGACGCTCGTCCTCGCTGCTAGAATCTTCCGATGATGAAGAGTAAGTACGCTTCTTGTGTTTCTTCTTCCTCTTTTTGGAGCTGCTGGACCCAGCGAGTTTCTGTTTCAACATCAATCAACACATTCAGACCTCTCATGCCTCGTTGTCACCTGATACTGCTGGTTTCACAGGCTCACCTTCTCCCTAGCAGCATCTAGCTTCTTCCTGTACTCCTTCATCTCCTTCTCTCCGTTGCCACTAAGGTCCAATTTGTCCGCATTCTCCTTTTTGTACTGCTCCCACGTGGGGCGGTTCGGGTCGCTGATACGGTCGGCAATGGTGCGCTCTTCCTTGCCCGTCATCATACGCATGAAGGCATCCATGGTGGCGGACTGCGGAGCTGCAGCCTTGGCTCCAGCATGTTTGGGTTGCTCCGCGGGTGGCTGCAAGACAAGTGAGACAAAATCAGACACTTTACCGCGTACTGACTGGCGAGGGATTAGCGCACCGCTGAGGAGGCCACTCGGATTGCACGCTGCCGCTCAAATCGGTTGTCGTCAATCTGCCGATCCAGCACTTGGCTGTAGTCCACTCCCGACGACCGCTTCAGGCCAAACTCGTCGTCGTGCGCCATAGTCTCCGTCTCCAAAAAAATGGCTACATCACCTATCCCATGATACATCATATTCAATGAAAAAGGATAGGTAAATGAACACTGTGATCCCCCATTTTGGATCTCCCGAAGAAGCTCGAAGCTTGGATTTAATTAACATGGTGAGAGACGCAGCAGCGACGATATGAGCGACCTGCAACTGACTTTTTGTGCCTTGCCACCTCCTCAACAGAACTCTGCCAACCTCCCTCTCGTGCGTGCTCCCCCTGACGCCCTGCGCTTCGGCTTCTACAGCGCCAGCGAGGACGTGCGACCGGTGCACGAGGTGCAGCGTCTGCAGACCACGGTGCGTTGAGCGAGTCTGTGGTTATTGGTAACATATCACTGATTTTTTTTTGTTATTACAGCACCGTCAGTCCAACTGGGAGCTTAAGATGGCGACGGTCGAGCAGGTCTACGGCAAGGCGGCAGCCATGCGTCTGCGCACAGAGAAGGCCGTGCTTGAACAGTTTACGGTGAGTTAACAGAACAAATTTATCTTAGTAGACAGAATTCTCATTGTTTATTTTATTATCCCAGCGTCTTCCCGGTCTTCCGAGTTCCCACGCCGGTCTGGACACGCTTACGGGCGTAGACGAGCAGATTGAGTTCACGGACTTCCTCAATGGTACGCTGCGTCGTTTTCCTGTTTTACTAGCACAATGATTCAGAGCTCATTTATGTGTCTAAACTGCTGATTGCAGACCCTAATGAGCACCCTGAGAACACGTTCCGTGTGCACGAAGCGATGGAAGTGAAGCTCTCTATTTTCTAAACAGTTGAAGCAGCGCCTCAACAAAGCGTGAAGATGCTGATGGCGCTGGTGTTATGACAGTTCCGTGCATTGAAGCAGGATCAAGTCTCACCAATGACACGTAGACGACATTGACAAACTGTATCTTTTTCATTCATATATTGTTGATGTTCAATTATAATAGCACAGCGTTCTCAACGCAATGTGGACAAGCTCAGTTTGGCGGTGGCGACGGGGTTGCTGCCATTAGTGCTAAGCAGTGCAAGTCCTCGTGGCGTATTGGAGCATCATCTCCAGTACGAACGAGGATGTTTTGCCGCTGCAAGAAACGCTGCAGACCCTGCGTAGACATCAGCGAGCACATGACATCAAGCCGCTCATCGGTCTCGGGTTTCTTCTTCTTCCCATCGTCTTCGATTTTTCCAGAAACAGTGGTCGTTGTCCAAGTTGTAATCATTTCCTCTTCTAGTTCATCAGTCGACAATTCCATTGTGTCGCCGCCAGTAAAACCGAATCCATCGCACACAAGGTTCCGGTTCGGTCCAGCATCCGAAAGACCCTCGTGCATGGCAGCAATAGTCTTCCGTGCACACTCCTTCAGCACTGGGTCATCGGACGCCAACTGTTCACGGAGTTGGAAGGCATCACCGACGGTCAGATGGCCATTGTTCACTAGAAACTCGACCTGTGCCTTCAACACCAAGCTCTCTTCTTCAGCTTCATCAGCTTGTAACTCTGCAACCTCCGACAACACTGCAGAATATGTCATAGCCAGACCCAACGTTGCGAAGACAGACGGATACATTACAGCCTGCGGTTCAGCAAGAAGTGGCGTAGCTTTCTTCGAGTTCAAGTATGAGAAATACTTCATGTAGCTGTTCCACCACGTCTCACCTGCCACCGGTTCTGATAGTTTCTTGGACTCTTCATGCTCTAGCTCACGAAGCGCCTGAGCTGCTTCTGTGCTTACCCACTCCCAGAACATGCCCCACGTCACTGGTCCCTCAAAATTATCGTCTTGAATCACGGCCATTGTTCTTTCATATCCAGTCTCAGAGATAGAGCCCATCGCGCCATAAAGCTTCTTCATCAGCTTAATACAGTCTTCCTTCGAGATAGTTCCCGTAGCGTCCGGATCAAACTCGTCGAAAAGAATACGAGCTCCAAGCTCAAGCCGATCAATATGCTCCTTCGCATTCTGTTGACTCGTGAAATACCCCGCTGTGGATGCAGAATACGCCTTGGATCCAGCGAAGAAGCCTAACATTCCTCCAACAACTGCTGCACTGGTGGCGGCCACAATGCCCACTGGGCCGGCCGCAAGTCCAGCTGTACTCCACATCCCCATTGCTGACGCCACACTGTACGCACCAATGCCTGCTCCTGCCGCCGCTGCAGTACGACTAGCGATAACTTCACCGGATTTCAGTCGGAAATCATGCATCATTAGTTGTTCAGTAGTCGTTGAGAGCACACCGAGAGACTTTCGATCAGTGTATCGCTTGCGATAGTCGTAATACTCCTTTCCAATGTCGACGAGAATTGAGGCGATCGTGAGCGGAGCAGCAACGGCACCGCCTAACGCTGACGATGTCCTAGCCATGCCATTTGCCAAAGCTACACCACCAGCGGCACGGATCCCGCTGTCCAAAGCGCCATCTCCACTCGCAGCAACCAGACTTTTCAACGTACTACCCGCTTCACCAGCATTCAAACGATAGCGAGTCACAACGCGATCCGCAAGCTTTGCTCTCTTGGACTCTAGTAGCTCACTTGTCGTAGCTTTGGCCAGGGACGCACCACGCGAGATATCCGCTTTTTGAATGTAGCCAACCATGAACTTACAACAGGCAAATTGGACAGTAACCGACGATTTGCCTTCTCTCCAATCTTGTACAGTCGCGAGACCGAACGGGGTGTTGGCAATCGATCCAGGAGGAAAAGGAATAATTGCGCTCTGTGCTTTCGACTCCTCCTCAGCGCGCTTTTCTTCTGCTAATGCGTCATCACTGAAGTGCAACGTCACCTCGTCCATGAGATCGATGCAGTCGAAAAACTCCTCCTCAGCCATCGCCTCCATCGCAGCATGATCATATTCAGTGGCACAATCAAAGAACTCTTCAACGAGTTCATCTTCTGCTGCGTCTTCCTGTTGCTTCAGAGTGACGAGTGCTTGCTGAGCTCCTTTCACGAAAAGCTGCTTCGCGGTGCTTTCATCCGTCTTGCTGGAATCGGTTATGGCTAGCGCCGATGCATCTTTTCTCTTCTTTCGCTCATCAGCTTGCTGAAGAAGCAGTTGTGTTGTATCCGAGTTCTGTGTGTTGCGGTGGTCTTCCAGCAACAACAATAAACAATCTGCGGGCATATCTCTCACTACTTCCGCCTGACGTCTCTTCTTCGAAATCTCCGAGTATTGTGACCATGCATTCACAATTAGCGCCACACTTGCCCCAACAGCGACAGCTCCACCCACGACGGAGACAGTTCGCAATCCGACATTCGCCCCAGAACTGCCTGTTGCCTGCGTAGGGGCTGCCACATCCCCGGCAACGATTTCTTCCGGTTCTAGATACATAATTTGCTCATGCTGGTCTGCACCAATCCCCACAGTCCGTGACACACGAATCCGATCTGGCGCAAATATATTGTCGTGATTGTTTGGAATAAGGCCACTTCGGATAGAGGAGGGGGTACGTAGAGGGTTAACCACCGTCGAGCTTGAAGTGGAAAAGCGCGATGTCACCTTTGAGACCGCTCCAGAGAGGTTATCAATTACGTCGCGGAATGTGGCGATTGCTTCGTCCAGAGTCATCCCATTCACCGTGCCATGGCGCACAAACTCGTCTTTCAGACTAGGCGAGTCGTTCAAGTGCGCATCATACGCTTTTCGTGCTTCAGCATCCGATAGCACCTCGTACGATTCCGCCAAAAGCTTAAAAATTTCCTCTGCAGAGGCTTGTTCCTGTGGATTGGCGGAGTTGGTTGCATATCGATCGGGATGCCACTTCAGTGCTAGCCGCTTGTAGGAGCTTCGGATTTGTCGCTCAGTTGCATTACGAGAGACTCCAAGACGCTCATAATGGTCCATTGAGGCGTTGATCTGAATGGAATTCGAGCGGCGCGCGACGGCAGCCACGTATGCACTCATTAAATGTTGCAAGATGGCGTTGCCAGTCAAACTGGAGTTAGAATCATCTTCCTTGTGCAATGCCGAGCTAATAGCGCTCGGATCCGAAAAAATCTTGTAGTCAGCTCCACACTTCGAGAGGAAAATGTACGTACCGCACGGAGAATACTGGTAATCGATTTCCTTCACGATATTGTAGTCGCGGAACTTCTGGAAAGTGTTCTGAAGAATGCTCAGACTCATCGACAAATATGCCGAACTCGCACTAGGAACAGCGCCAGTATTCGCTGTTGCAGCCAAATCGACAAAGCGCTGCTGCATTTGAATAGGCAGCAAGTTCACCAGCGTTTTCGTTGCTTTCGTGATCGTAACCAAGCGCTCGGTTGTCTTTGCCACCATTGCTGCTGACTGCGCTACGTTGAGAATGCTCGGAATGCAATCAAACTCGTTGACGAACGTGATCACACGCTTGTTGAGCTGTAGTGGCTCCAAAAACGACGACAGGCCAGCGGATCCAATGTACGGAGCTCCAAATCCAATCGCCAGCATATGTGGCGTACTACGAAGAATCGCCGTTCGCTCTTCCTCAGTCATACCTTGAACCATCAATCCAAAGTCCAACCCATCACTTGTGGTACTACTTTCTTTCTTCTCCTCTTGTTTTTGCTGATCATAGTCGCGCTTTTCCAGGAACAGCCGCGTCTTCGTAGGCAAGTGTTGATACACCAGTTCACAGAATGCCAGTTGTGCGATGCTGCCGCCAATGGAGTGGCCGCACAAAAGCAGCATCTTCTTGGCTTGTCGTGCCTGATGGTGAACCTCATGCAAGTCCAGTCGCTGCGTTCTTGTCCAAAAGGGCGCATGGATCCTTGCGCCCCCAAATCTATGCACGTATGGCTGCGAGAGCGGCACGGCCGATCCTACTACCGTCTGCAAGATATCTGCAGGCTTTGTGGCTCGCACAGCACAGATCATCACCAGATCGGACTGCATGAGGACGAAGTCGCGTGTGAACATCAACACTGGCAGCTGCAGACTGTGCGGCAACGGTGACTTGCGGACGTGCATCTCCAGCTCGTGAGCTGCGCGATCATTGGCCTGTTTGTCGGTATCGGAAGGCTCCGACTCAGTCGCAGCCAAGGCCGCGCACAGAACGGCGGCATTAAGTAGCTCCGTCTCGCTACACGCCATTGCGCGTATCGGGTTACTGTCCACGGCGGTGTCGGTCCACCACCACGCACGTTTAGGGGCGTTTTCCGCGCTTTTCTTGAGATTTTTAGCAGGTTGCGCGACTGTAGACGTCGGCTTCATGGCTCGGAAGTGCTTGTTCAAACTGTGGACACGGATGTACAGGCGTCCTTCTCGCTGCAAGTGTTCTTCCCAATCTGATTTCAGTGAGGTCGCAGGACGACGAGCGAATGTGAAGTGTAGCCATATTGGAAAAGAATGCGACAGATCGGACTTTCCACCAATCAGCGCATAGTGAACGTTACTCTGGGCTCATTTAGACGAGCTTCGCTATGTGGATGAAGCTGCTGCTGCTCGTGGCAACGCTGTCTGTCGCGGCAGCCGAGGATGACTACAAGATGCGGGACGAGGTGGAGGTCGTTGCCAACACGGTGCGTTCTTTTACCTCAGACATATGGCCCCTAACGGGCCGAATAATACAGTTCTCAATGGCTGAATCCGGCACTTCCTGCTGCAGATCCGGCCATACGCAAACCCCACTGAGACGTACCAGTATTACAAGTTACCGTACTGCAAACCAAAGGAGCGCCAATGGGACGATCATGACCTGGGTGAGTTGCTCACGGGCAGTCGCAAGGTTGTGACAGATTACCGTCTCTACTTTGGTGTGGACCAGACATACGCGCAGCTCTGCAAGTTGCCGATGGCCCCGGATGTCATGAAGGTGTTCAAGGATGCGGTGGATGAGGACTACGAATTCGAGATGTATGTGGATGACATCCGGCTTCGAGGCCAGGTGGGATACCTCATCCAGGAGGGCATCCGCGAAGGTATGAAGATGCACTACTACCTGAACACACATCTGCACTTCGACATCGCCTACAACGATGTGGAAGCAGAGGAAGGCAAGAACAAAGTAAGCGAGGTGACCAAGGCATTGGATTAGAGAGTTGTAAACACTAACCTTTCGTGCTGTTCAGATTGTGGCTGTGAACATGACGATGGCATCGTCCGATCCGGACCTTGAATACCACTACGCACTGTCGCCTGAGAATATTGCCAAGACACCCGAAGCAATCTTCACGTACTCTGTGAAGTGGCACAATCGACTGGATCTGCTCTACGAGAACCGCAACGTTGACAAAGAACTGATTGAGCCAGACGACTTGGAGCTGCATTGGATTTCAGTCATCAACTCTTTCATCTTAGTGATGATGCTCACGGGATTCTTGTCCATTGTGATGATTCGCATTCTTAAGCGTGACTTCTCGCGATACACGGACTTGGAGACTGGTGACGATCATGCACTGGAGGATGATTCTGGCTGGAAGCTCTTGCATGCTGACGTATTCAGGTTCCCAACGCATTTGAACATTTTCTGCGCTCTCAACGGTGCCGGTGCGCAGTTGTTCGTGATGCTGTCGGTGGCTCTCGTATCTTCGTTGCTTGGCATCGTCAAGCCCAACAAGCGCGGTGGTATGATGACTGCCTTCATCGTCCTCTACGCGCTCACTGCAGGCGTCGGAGGTTTCCATTCTGCTCGAATGTACCGTCAGCTTGGTGGTCAGCGATGGGTGTGGAACATCTTGCTGTGTGTGCTTATTATCCCGGGACCGCTGGTTGCGATCTTCTCGTTTTTGAACTCGGTAGCGATCTGGAACGACTCGTCAGCGGCTTTGCCTTTTGGCACCATCATGATCGTGCTAGTGTTGTTCATTACAGTGGCTCTGCCTCTGACCATTATCGGTGGTATCGCTGGGCGGAACTCTACTGGCGAATTCAAGTCCCCGTGTCGTACGAACAAGATTCCGCGTGAGGTTCCGTCCGTGCCTGGCTATCGCAGTCCGTTCATCCTGATCATCGCAGCCGGATGTCTCCCGTTCAGCGCTGTCTACATTGAGCTGCACCACATTTTCGCCGCGATCTGGGGCCACTCGATCTACACGCTGTTCGGTATCCTGTTCTTGTCTTTCGTCATGCTGGTGTTCGTGACAGCGTTCACGACCATCTCGTTGACGTACATCCAGCTCTCGTCCGAGGACCACCGCTGGTGGTGGCGATCGTACATCTCGGGCGGTACGACGGGGTTGTTCGTGCTTGCGTACAGCGTGTGGTACTACACGAGCATTGCCGACATGACCGGTTTCTTCCAGGCAGCGTTTTACTTTGGTTACACGAGCATGATGGCCTACTGCTTCTTTGTCATGTTGGGCTTCATCGGATTTCAGAGCTCACTCTTTTTCGTCAACAAGATCTACCGAACCATTAAGGTGGAGTAGACAGCTCAGGATCTCGATCACAAGCTTCAGTACTTCAAGCCTACGAGTGAGTACATGTAAGCCGAATAAAGAATAACTTCGTTTTCACAAATGAGATCTATCGAATGGAGTCTCATCACCTGCATACGGCGACGCAGGGTTTGTCAGTCGACAACTTCGGGAGACGCGAGGGGATCCGGCGTGATTGGCCCAAAAATATTATGGTGTCCGTCTGGCGGCAAACAGACATTGCTGGAAGTGACGACCGAGCCTCAGTGGGCGGCGGTGCGATGAAGATCATCAAGGCCGTAGTGCAGAGGAAACTTCCTCCGCGATGGGGATATCTGACGCTTATGGTGAGCATGCTGTACTTACTGCGGCGAGCCAGGATCAAGGACATCCCGCGCGAGGTATGATCGATCTCTTGATGAACACAACCGCCGACTTCTGACAATGCTTTCTACTGCAGAACGTGTTGAGCTTTTTTGCTGCCATGCTGCCCACTGAGCTCTCGCACAACATGCTCGCGATCAACTTCGCTATCATCTATAAGTTGCACAAGTCCAAGCAGCCCGTACTGTCAGAGTGGGTCGGCTCAATCGGAGCGTTGTTGCAGTGTATTGTAATGGCTCGGCTGGCGAAGATATACCGAGACAATATCTCCTCCAAGCATCTGATTCGGGACACAATGCACGCTTTCGATATTTCTTCGGATAGTGTTCAGAGCATTGGCAAGCTCAGCTGGAAGCAGTGGTTTGCTGTGTTGTTACCCGTGCCTCAGCCGTTGGGACTTGCGATGGCATTCCCGGGAGTCTCGAAGATACAGACAGTTACCTTTGCTCATGTGGGGAAGAACAAGACCACCGCGCTGCTAATGGACGTGTACAAGCATCCAAATACACCGTCCAATGCTCCTATCGTGCTCTACATCCACGGCGGTGCTTGGGTCATGAGCACTCGAGAGACCCCCCCACTTCCATGCATTTACCAGATTGCTGCTAGTGGGTGGGTCGTGTGCGTGTTCGACTACCAGAAATCTCCAAAGATCGCCTTCCCCGAGCAGCTTGTAGATGCCAAGCGCGCGATGGCCTTCCTTCGTCGGAACGCACGGAAGAAATTCGACGCCAACCCGGACTACATTGTCGTGGCAGGAGAGTCTGCTGGTGGCCACCTGGCAAGCTTGATGGCTCTTACTCCGGCCGACAAGTCACTTCAACCCGGTTTCGAGGAGGTGGACACAAGTGTACGCGGTTGCATTGACACCTACGGTGTTCACGATTTTAAGGACCGCCATGGTGTGTACTTCTACAAGGACAAAGACCACATCTTCGTGCGCTTCATCGAGCTCCTGGTGATGCAGAAGAAGATGAGCGATGCGGATGAGGACTGGGAGAAGGCGTCGCCCGTCGGTTGGCTCCGTGAAGAGAAATCTAGCGACCTTCCTGCTGTCATCCCACCATTTCTCATTTCGCACGGCACGCTGGACACGCTGGTACCATTCGGTAGTTCGCAGGTCTTCTTCGAGCAGCTCCAGCTGTATCGACAGCGCGCGCAGCAGACTCCAGTGGGCGGCGTTTGTGACATCTTCCTGAAGATCCCGGGTGCACACCACGCCTTCAACTACGTCATGTCACCGCGAGCGATCGCTCACGGCCAAGCTGTAGCTGCCTTCCTGAACAATCTGTACGCAAAGACCAAAGATATTCCGCTGCACTGCGCATCCGAATTGGCGACGGCGCAGATAGCAGAGTTGGCGGCTGCAGCCACCACAACTGCAACGGCACGCCTTTGAGTTACATGTACGAGTTTGTTAATGCATGTACATTTCGCTTGGGTTCGCTGGTGTTCACCATTCCTGGACCAGCATGATTGCGTGCGTAGACAGCTTTAGCTTTTGCCGAAGGAAAATGTTAATTCCTGTTGAGTCAACCTCTTTTGTACGATCATATGATTGGCTAAAGCTCGTTTATAATGCCTCTGATTGGACAAGATGAATGCATTTGCACGCGGCCTGCAGACGGTCATTTCAAGGAAGCATCAAGCTGCGCCAACAGCTACAGCCCTGCTTGCTTGTGTGTTCCCTTAAGGTCCAACCACAGTGGCAGGCCCCGCACCATCAGTGAGCTGCACGAAATAATACCACCGGAAACGCGGTCAGATCGCAATCAGCCCCAGAGATGAAAGTCATGAAACCCCTCGAGCCGACGCCATACCTGAACAACGAGCGCCTGACACGCTGGGCGTACCTGGCTTTCGCCGCGTCTACGTTGTACATTGTGGAGCGCGCCAAGAACAACAAGATCCCGCGCGAGGTAAGCCTCGGCGCAGTTGCGGTTCCTGAGCGCATTGTCTAACTTCACGATGTGGTGCTTAATCGTGCAGAATTTCTTCGGCATGGCAGCGTCGTTATTGCCCACCGAGCTTTCGCACAAGGTCGCAGTCATACACGCGTGTCTGACTGGTTTTCTTCTTAAGAAGGAGATCCCCATCTTCTCACGTTGGAGTGGCGCGTTCGCGGGTCTGATGCAGTGCGTAGTAGCTGCAAAGCTCATGACATGGTACAGACAGAACCTCTCGTCTAAGGATGTCATTCGCGATGCATTCCTCTCGTCGGATATCCCGCCAAATCAGCTCAAGGATATCGGGCGCATGACGTTAAAACGTTGGCTAAGCGTGTTTCTACCTTTACCACAGCCCATGGCCTTGTCGCTGAGCTACCCTGGTGTCAGCAAGATCCGCACGGTTACTTATGCTCATGTCGGCAAAACCAAAACAACAAAGCTCCTGATGGATGTCTACAAGCACCGGGATGCGCCTTCCAACGCACCTATCTTCCTGTACATTCATGGAGGTGGTTGGGTCATCGGTGATCGCCGCATCCCGCCATTTGCCTGTGTCTACCAGGTTGCCTCAATGGGCTGGATAGTATGCGTGATCGACTACCGATTATCTCCTGGAGTGGCGTTCCCTAAACACCTCATAGATTCGAAGCGTGCGGTAGCTTTCCTTCGCCAAAACGCACGAGCTGAGTTCAACGCCAACCCAGAGTTTATTGCTGTTGGCGGTGAGTCAGCTGGAGGACACCTGGCTAGTCTGGTAGGCCTCACCGCGGATGACAAGTCCCTGCAGCCTGGCTTCGAAGACGTAGACACAAGTGTCCGCGCAGTTGTCGATAACTATGGTGTACACGACTTTACAGATCGACATGGAATCTACTACGCTCGTGACAAAACGCGCGGACTTGTCCAGTACCTCGAGTTCTTGGTGATGCAGAAAAAGTTAAAAGACAACAACGAGGACTTCGAGCGCGCGTCACCTATCGCCTACTTGGACGATGACCGTGCAGCACGTCGACGTGACATCATTCCACCATTCCTGATCACCCATGGTACTCACGACAACACCGTGGCGTTCAAGGACTCGCGTCTGTTCTTCGATCGCTTGCTCCACTATCGTCAGAATCTCCCCCAAAGTGTTGCGTCGTATCAGGACAAGCAGCTCGGTGGTGTGCAGGATGTCTTCGTAAAGGTGCCTTACGCCAGCCACATGTTCAATTTCTTGGTGTCTCCACGAGCATTGGCGCATGGCGACGCCGTGTGTGCTTTCCTGGATAATGTCTACAAGAAAACCAAGGATATACCACTCGAAGCGCGGATGTTGCCCAGTCGCATCGAGGAGTTGGTACCGGAACCACAAACCAACGAGCCAATGCCTTCCGTCTCATTGTCAAGATTATAGCGGAACAGCATGCTACCGTACAATTTGTGAAAATATAATCACATCCAAGAACATTCTAATTCTCATTACCGCCAGCTTTAAGGCGCGCGTGATAGATGGAAAGCTCGTCCGAGTACTCGAATCTGGCAAAAACCTGAGCGTTATTCTTGCGAGACACCTCCTCGACGTCAAATATTTTCCCGAGTTCCTGCAAGAAATTTGCTTCAATCTCCGCATTTCGCGTCTCAAAACTGAAGATCACATCGGTCGTCGGCGACACTAATTCATGCAGCGTTTTGATCAGCAGCAAAGACGCCGAAGCATTATACAGCACGTCTGAGAAGACTATTAGGTCAGTGCTTTTCTTCCACGACGTCAAGGAGCCTCCAGGCTTAAATTTGTCTCCCCATTGACACTCTTCCACTACCGGTGCAACAGCAGTAGCCACCGACTTGTTCGTTCCTTCAAGAAGGAAGTTGACGGCCACGTTTTTGCTCAGCAGAGGCAGCGCGTACTCCTGGTCCGTTAGTGCTACTTGAGCTCCGAGCACAGCCAGTGTCATCCCAACAAGTCCAACCCCCGCACCGAGTTCCACCACTTTTTTGCCTTTAAAGCGGTGTTCGTCTCTTGCGTCCTGGGCTTGGGTCTGCAGATAGTCGGCGAGCAGTAGCGCGGCGTCCCAAACGCAATGACCGTGCGACGGGAACTCCGGCGTACCAGCGCATATATCTCGATCCTGCACCGCCGTTAGCGAGACTTTCTCCCCACTACTCGGTATCGTCACCACATACGAGAACTCTCGTTCCTCCGTGCGGCCCCAAAAACCCTCGCCCGAGTCTTCAATGTCACTCATAAGCTTGGCACTGAACCAGGGCGTGATGACCAACAAAAAAGTAAGGTGTAGCCATCTGAGTTTCTAAAGACCCAAATCACCCAGAACACAAGGAATGATGGTAGTTTTTCTTAGGCAAGTGGGTTTTATTTCGATTACTTACGCTTATCATTGACGGCGTTCCTCACTCGCCACACTATTGCTCGTGGATCGCGATGAATCCCGCCGCTACGCTTCAGCAAGAGCTGTGGGCTTTTGTGGAGAGTCTGTCAGTGCCTCATGTGGCCCCCGGACTGTCTCCGGAGGCGCGACTGGAGCAGATCCATCAGCAGGCAGGTGATTTGCTGGCCAGAAGGCGCGAGGCGTCTATCAATGGAACTGTCGAGTTTCCAGCCGCCTCGGCTGCTGCAATTGCCACTAGTAATGAAGATCACCATGGAAAGACGAAAGATGAAGAGCACAAGGAAGTTGCGGCGACCACCAAGGCCGAGGAGAAAATGTACGAGGAAGTGAACGAGCGCATTGCTCGACGCATGATCGACGGTGTGGAGCAGCTCAATAGAGGAGGCACAGCAACAGCTAGCACTAGCGAAGACAAGAGCGATACACTATCTGACTGTACGACAATCACCGAGACGTCCAGTGTCTACGGGATCCACAACACGTGGGTGGATCTCGCCACGCTCTACTCGCTACCATTCGTCATGAGCGACAGTAATCATCGTTTAAAGCCCGTGCCACCGCTGAATATTGCACAGGAACAGAGTCACTTGAGTAAGATCTTCCAGGAATGCCAGCGTGCAGTGCACACGATGCGAGCAGTGGCTACGGTTGACGCACTTCGGAAAGTTTTGGATCGTGGCGTGACTGTGTTACACTTCAGCGGACATGGAGGTCGAATTGTGGGGCAAAGCCAGTATCTCATGTTTGAAGACACGCAGTGCTCTGGTCTGGCGCATTTAGTAGATTCTACGACACTGCGGAGTATACTGAACGGTGGTACGAGTTCTTCGGTCGTTGAGGAGCCCATTGTCAGTGAAAGCAGCATCTCGCTGGAGATACCGAAGGATAACGTGCCGGCTAGTAGTATCACTGGTTTGCCGGCGCGCTCTCCATCCCAAATCTCATCATCTCGTAGCATTGACGGTCGGCCTGCGATCAACGGCACTCTCAAGTTGGTATTTGTATCATCTTGCGATTCGAAGGATATCGGTGAAGTTTTCATCCAAGCTGGAGTAGCACACGTAGTGTGCGTGCGGTCTGAAGGCCGGGTATTGGATGAATCTTCAGCCATGTTTTCGTATTCGTTCTACCATGCAGCTGTAACGGGGAAGACAATCCAGCAAGCGTTTGAAATCGCTCGTGTCCGCGTGAGTGCCGAAATGCGGATTCCTGACGGGGAAGGCGACAAGTTTGTGCTATTGGAATCGTCTCAGCTACACGCGGAAACCTGCCCACTTTGGTCCAGAGAGGAAGTTCCACAGGCGATTGAAGTGAATTTCGAGGAGAAGAGTTGCAGATGCAATGCGTCAACGCAACAGTTTGTGTTCTCCGATATCTCAGTGGGTAAGTGGGTCGATGTGAGTCCGTCCAACAAATTCAGTAAAACTCTTCCGCCAGTAGCTGAGTCGTTTGTGGGTAGAGAGCAAGAACTGCACATGCTAGCAGAACTAGTCAACACGCGAAGGTTTGTGACACTACGTGGTCCTCCTGGAATCGGCAAGAGTACCTTGTCGACTAAGCTTGCTCACTTCCTGGCTGATCGTAATGCCTTCCCTGATGGCGTTGCATTCATTCGGTTGCGTGGGGTCCAGTCACTGGAAGGCATGGAATCGTCTATCAAGAGCGCGTTGTTCCCTGAAGGTGGTCGTGAGAAGGACATGCCGCTCGACCAAGCGCTCGCTGACATGAAAGTTTTACTCGTGATGGACAACATGGAAGATCCGATCAACGCGAATCCGTCGTCTACGCGCGATTTTCTGCTGCAATTGCTACATAATACGCCGTCCTTGTCGTTTTTGATGACGGCTCGACAAGCAATGGGCGGTGGAATCAACGAGTTTGACGAGAAGGTGGTGTCTTTAAATCGTTTATCGCACTATCACGCTGCGGACCTGTTCATCAAAAAGTCACCACGCGCGCTGCTTGTGTCTGAAATCGGGGATACTGATACTAGTGGTACGAAGTCCACGTCTACGTCGATTCTGAATGCGTTGGTAGCTCACCCATTGATGGCGTTCCTCGATGGTCACCCACAAGCTATTTCGCTCTGTGCTCCATTGCTTCAGGATAGATCTCTGTCAGAGCTTACACGAGCAGTACTCAGTCGCGGTGTGAGCGAGTTGCAAGTTGTAGGTCTCGCTGCACACGATCGCAGCGCTTTGAACACCCTCGTTGCATCGCTGGATGTGTCCTTGGAGCAAGTTCGGATGCACCACGGCCAAGACGCGATCCGATTCTTCGCGCTTTTGGGATTGCTTCCAGCTGGAGCAATGCCAGCAGATTTTAAGAGCCTGTGGGGGAGCAAGTGGGAGGGGCTTGTGGAGACGCTTCTTCGATTCTCGCTTATTCAACGAAATCGTATTCCAGGATTCGCACTGGCTAAGCGAGGCTTGCCCAAACGCAGCGGTACGGGAACAAGCGGCCTCGGTAGCAGTAGCTCCAGAAGATCCAGGTCGCGCCATTCATCCAGCCGTGGATACGACCAGTCTTTGTTGGCAGCTCTGAAGTCGTACAGCGACTTCATCAATAACGCTACTGAGGCTGCTGGGAAAGCTGAGAGTGCAGAATATGACATCCCGAATGGCAGAGGTGGGTCTCGTCGCGCCTTGAACGACAGACACATGCTCAACTCGCTGACGCGCAGTGGACGCGCATCTCGCGTCTCCGAGCATGTGGAGCGTATGGACGACCACGCGGAGATTATGGCTGTGTGTGTTTCGTATTCAACGTTCCCGTTCATTGCAAGTTATGCGCGCAGTTTGCTCGGAATGTACGACGGCGATGGTGCGAAGAACGAGGTATTGGAGTCACTCTGCGTTTCCGACCGTGATCTCTTCCTGTATAACACCTCGAGGCATTTCCAAAAAGTGAGCTACTGGGTCTTTCAGCACATCTGCACACTCACAATCGAATCAAGCGCAGCTTATTTGATTTTGGACTTGCATGAATCCAATCTTTGGATGATTCTCGACCTCCATATTCGCATGATTGAGGAGTGCCAAGCGGAAGCCAAGGCCTCGTCACCAAGATCGACGAGGACAGATGTTCATTCAACTGTTGACAATAGCGATGGCATCAACCTGCGCGAGAAGATTGATGGCTATGTGATGGACGTAGCATGTTATCTCGCGCACTCTTTGTTCTTGTCAGGTCGCCATCGCGGTGCTTGGAACGCGGCTAACAAGGCTTTGCATATCGCCAAACAGCACAAGAATACCCTTTGTCAGGCGAATATTCGTAAACTGATGGGCATTCTACTCACAACCGAAACAAAGTTCGACGAAGCCAAGGCTCAATTCGGCACAGCTCTCATTCTGTACAAAACTGTTGGAAACAAAATTGGACAAGCGGCATCTTTGAGTGCGATCGGCATGATTCACTCACGCAACGGAAATCTACGAGGCGCTCACAATTGCTTCACGAAGGCGTTGACACTGTACGAATGGTACAAACATTCACTTGGACAACTCAATTGTCATCAGCGCCTTGCTAATTTGGAAAAAAAGTTACGCGATGGTGATGGATCAGCTCACAAGAATGGACCAAACTCAGGCCACAGTCACCATTATGCAGCAACTCGTCGTCTTCAAGGTGATTTGAATCGCAAACGTAACGGCGAATACATTGTTCGCTGGGTGGGGCACGAAACGAGTCTGCTACTGGAGATGCCGTCTCCAACAGTAGAAGATGACAGCCAGTCCCGTCCTGGGCATTCCATTGTAACCTCTTCGCAAGGGTTACCATACCCGCTTGGTACAGGTGCAAAGGTGACAGCACCGAGTGTCACGAACAATTTGAAGAAGGTGAAAGCAAGCGTACTCCTTGAGCAGAAGGAACAAAGTACTTCGACTGCTGCTTCAACAATTATCACCATAAATGAGGGGCAAGGTGACAAATTCAAAAACAGTAGCTTTGCCAAGAGGAAAGAGTATGACAGCAGTATCAGAAAATCTGCTGCTGCCATGGCGAACGCGTCCAACTTAGCCTCATCACCTGAGCCGTAGTAATTTGTGCGTTCAAAATTGTAGTTACTGTAACTCTTACCACTCATCATCACTGTTCTCGATTTCATCGTCGACCTCTTCTTTGAGTGAGAGTGAGTCAATTGCCAATGTGCCGGCTGCATTCTGCCGAGTAGCAGGTCCACCCACTCGATCCATGATTGTCAAAAAAGGCTCCACTTCGAATGCAAACACATCCCCCGTGCATGCATGTTGAAGCCCATGCTTGCCTCCTCGAGTAGCCACTAACATTTCCTCACGACGGGACACAATACGCTGCTTTGCAGTGTATGTTTGGGGCCGCGTGATCGGTCGGAATGCCTTCGGAGCGGGATTTTCGTTCGTCACTGCAACGGTTCGCATAAGAATGGCTTGCGCAACGCCCCGAGAGCGCTTAAAAGCCTTGTTCAAATGCGACAACAGAGTTCTTCAATCAGTAAAATTGGGTAAGCAGGCAACCCATTTAAATCGTACCTCAGAACTCCTGACGCCGCTGTATGATTCAGCAACCAACACCTCGCACAAGCTCATTAGGTCCAGAGCGCCAGACAGATCTTCCACTTGCGTAAAGTATGCAATGCTGTTCTCATGAACGAGTGCAAGCACTCGGTCAAGTGGCATAGCAGAGGCATCCAAGATCTGATCGTAGTCGATGGTGTTCGCTCCATTCCTTAACGCGCTCTCATCAGCATTTTTGTTTGCCAACATTTTACCGTGCAGCAGCTTTCCAACAACGTGGAAATCCGAGAGAAATGGATCACGGATGCTAGCGCTTGGCGCTGTTGATGCCTCGGAATTCGCGGAAGAAACTCTTCTCCTTTTCCCCTTCTTCGTAGTGGTTGCTGACACAGCTTTGTGCTTCTTTACGTTGGGGTTGAGCGACAATTGCAGCATATTCAGAGCGTGCCGCATATCTCCATTGCTACTGTCGATTATATTCTGGATATCCGCCGGCTGAAAGGGACAGTTCTCTTGAGCAGTAATGCGAGTAAGATGTTTCTTTAGCTGCACAGATGTCACTGCGTTGATATTAATCACTGAAGTCAGCGGCGAATGCATCACCTCGCGAGAAAACTTTCGGCTCAGGTGATCCAGGTCAATCTTGCTGCCCTGGACGTCACTGTAGATGCAAACTACAGGGTAACGACATCCTCCAGCTGGGTCTACCACATGTTGATAGATCCGTTGAAGCTTCTCCTCGTATAGCGACTTATCTTTCGACCATGACTCCGGCCAGCTCTCGATCAAAATCACCTGTCCTGTCTTCTGCAAATTGCCAGAACCTGGCTGAGTGCTCGATAGTCGACACTTGCCACCAATAGATGATGCATGGCGGGACGTAGCAACAGGTAGTGCAGCGTAGGCTGACGAGCGATGGATAAAATCTGAAAAATCGTCAACTCCAGATATCTGCGGCGTCCAAAAGTCTTCCCGAAGCATGCGTTCATAGTTCAGTTTTCCAGCTGCTGAGTTGTCTTCCCACTCTTTGATAAGTAGACCGAGCTGTCGAACAATACAACGTACGACCGTCGACTTACCCGATCCTGGCGGACCACACAAGAACAACAACCGCTTCTGGAACACACCTGGTTGTGGCGACGCATTCCGATCCAGCCATTCCGAGATCTCCTGCACCTTCTTCTTGTTCACACAAAGATCATCAACCGTTTTCGGGGCATATAAATCCGTCCACAGCCCTTGATTCGTCTTGGCAGTCGCTACCTTTCCATTGCTCCGTCGTAATAAAGTAGCCTCTCCATTATACGACGCAGCCGAGGTGACACTTGCATCGTCATCACTATTTCCACTCTCGCTGCTATCAATGACCTCAATAGGCTCCATTGAAGCACCTGATGACTGCTTTTTCGTGCTGCTATTGTGCTCTGTCTTGTTCATTGGCTGCGAGAGCCACTGTGACAGCTTCCGTGTCTTCCTCGGCAGCCCGGGACGAGCGCTTTCGCACAGTTCACATCTGGAAGCGCGAGTATCTTCGTTCAGGAATGTACACATACGGCATTCCCACGCGTTTTCTGCTATCCCAGTCTTTAATTCCTGCGAGTGCGGCCGTACTCCCTCGACCTTGGTCACTAGCTCCACATCTGAGTCGCTACTGCTGTCCACCGACTCGTTCTTTCGCTCTGATCTGCACACCATACGGATACAACAGCATAGCAGTATATTATATCAGTCCACAGACCTTTGGATCGAACTGCAGGTGCGGTTTTACCGCTGTCGGAGCCGTCGCCGGCCGCTCTGCATGATCTGGTGCTATTTCCTGTTTGAAACTTCAAAAAGTGGTACACTTTGGTACCAATTTTCAAGTTGCAGCTGGACAAAAATGACAATGAAGCAGGAGCAGGAGACGAAGACTCCGGCGCCGACGACGCACTGGAAGAAGAGCTTCAACGAACAAGAGCAAGAGGAGATTGAACTCTCAATCAAGAGGTAGAAATTTCTTGGAGCGTACTGAAAAAAACATTGAACTGCTTATAAAGAAATTTTATTGTTTAGTGTCAAGGAGTTTTCTCAAGAGCTCGAGAGGGTCCGGACGGCCATGAAGACCAGGAGCAATAGATGAGACTATCGCTACAAGAATTTGTCATAAAGCGAGTGTGGCAGGAAGTATCTGCGATGGATATCAATTAATGCAACTTGAAGGGCGCCACGCGATCAACTTTACTTTTGCATGGCAGCCAGTAATAGTTCGATGCGGTCGCGCACCATGACATGCAGCATGCTCTTCGTGGCAGCGTAGGTTTCGGATGCGAACTTGCGCACCTGGTCATTGGAGCTTGCAGTGAGTGAGCGGTAGATTGGGAGTTGGCACTTCTGCTTGCCTTGCATTTCCAGGAATCGGCGCACAACGGACAACTTAGCGATGACGTCGTTCTTGATAAGAACCAGCGCCCACCGGAACAGAATCTCCGAGTTGCGTGAGTCCCAAAGAGAAAGCGTGTCACCCAGCGTGATGACCACATCTGCATCTGAGAACTTTGTCTCCAGACAGCAATCCAAGAAATAGAGGATTGGTTGGGCCTCCCATTGCTTGGCTTCTTCGGACAAATACAGCACACTCGGTTGCACTGGGGTGGACGATGACCGCCAGTGGAAAGCCATGGACTCACAGTTTTGCATGATTCCTTGGGTGTCCGAAAGATCTGGAGTGAACGGTGGGTAACCGGGCTCATTAAGCCATTTGTCGAACGAAATGCCGTTCTTGAGATCCGTCCCAGCGGCGTTCGCTAGCTCAGGAAAACTCTTCAGGAAAAACGAGATCATGATCTCCGCTGGAATCGACTGGAAGCGGTACTCAGCGCAGTAACGTTTGAGGAAGTCATCGAACACCTGCAAGGGATAGCACATAAACAGTTGAGTAGATTGAAGTGGTCAAGTACAGGAAAGCGTTCATACCGCTTCAGATCCTACGAGACTTCGCAGGTAGCATACGAACGCGTAGCCCTTCTCGTACGCGCACTGGTTGTAGCAGTCGCCTGGATCAATTCCTTCGTCAAGCGGAACTCGCAAACGTGTCAGAGGCGATTGCTCTCCAAGAGAGGATATCTCCTCGCGTAGTAGAGCCTCGCCAAGTTTGGCATCGAGGCAGCTCAAAGCTCTAGAAATTAAAAGCGTTGGTGACATAACACCGCATGATCGTAGTGAATAGCAAAAAAATCGTACCTGCCGTGTGATTCCTCGGTGATGCGTCGCTCCGCGTACATCGTGAAGCCTTCATTGAGGAAGAAGTCGCTCCACGTTGCATTTGTCACCAAATTGCCAAACCACGAGTGGGACAGCTCGTGCGCCACAACTACAACACGCAATCAAACACAAAGTTAGCTCTTCTGTAATTTTAGCGGAGACGATGTTGACGTACTTGATACGAGCGATTTGTCGCCAGCGATCGTGCAGGGAGACACGAACGTAAGCCGTGGATTCTCCATTCCACCGTACGGAAACGACGGTGGCATAACCAGCATGTCGTAGCGCTCCCAGAGATAGTCTCCGAATAAGCGTTCACCGATAGCCAAGTATTCTTCCAGCACACCATCAAACTCCTTCGTAGCAGCTTCAATCATGCACGGTTCCGTCCAGATGCTCGATCGTGGACCAACTTCGGCTTCAACCAAGTCTCCTACTGCCATTGCCACCAAATACACCGGAATCGACTGTTTCATCTCAAAGGTGAACTTCTTTTTGGTAGGAGTCCCCTCCTTTTCCACCTCTTCGGGCACATAGTCCTCCGCGCCGCACAATTTGGCGCTCATAACACACACCAGCTCCTTTGGTACGATCACCGAAGCGGTATACGTAACGCGCACGGACGGAGAGTCCTGGCACGGGAAGAAGCTGCGATTCAGTACTTCCTGACCTTGGGTGTACATGAACGGTAGCTTCTTGCCCGCTGTCTGCTCCTTCTCAAGCCAGCAGACTCCCGGGCTCTCTACATCCGTCTCGTAGCGGATCGTCAGCTCAAAGGCACTCGCAAGCACCAATTCTTCCGGGATCTCGACCTCCAGTATTTCTCCGAAGACTGTGAAGGGCTTGATGCTCCACTGGGCCGCGATCGTGTCTTCTTCAGGCAGGGCGACGCATACCGAGCGGATGGTCAAGTGGAACACGTCCAAACACAGCGTCGTCGCCGACTCGCTGAGTCTCTTGACGGACAAAGTGGCTACACCTGACACGCGCTTAGCGACCATGTGCACTTCAAGCTCTAGGTCCACATGGTGCGTGCGGAACTCGTCCAGCGCTGCACACGTCGCGGGGTCCCGAATCTTGGCAGTCGTCATCTACGATCTTCAATCGCCTTCGTCTACACAGCCGCCAATCACAGCACGGCAATGCACCGGAATCAGATAGTCACTCAAGCGAGGAAAATCGTCTCAGATGCTTGAATCTGATTCCCTCATTGTGAAGATAAGATGAACTCGAAGCACGCCGCGTTATGGGATGAGGTGCAGGGCTCCTGTGAACCCCCCAAGCTGCAAGCAGCACTCAGAGCTGATGCAGATCCATCTGCACAACTAGACGGATGGACTCCACTGCATTTTCTGTGCGAGAATCGCTCGGTGGAACCAACGGCGCGCGCTGAGGGACTGCGATTGCTGCTCCAAGTGGGCTTCGACGCGAACACCGTAGATGAGGTTGGTGGTCATTGATACGAATGTAGGCATGGATAAGCAAACCAACGCAAGTTAAACTGTTGGTTTTGACCAGAACGGATGGAGTGCGCTGCATTTACTGTGCAAGAACAAGAGTGGCGGCGATGGAGACCTCGTACCCAGTATCCAGCAGCTTCTGGCAGCCAAGGCTAATGTGAACCTGCAAACCTCTGTACGTAGTCTGTGGTCTTCTTGTTTATGACAGTAGCTGACTGAATTTGCGTGCAAATGATGCAGGACAACAAGAAGTCGGTGCTGCATTTTCTTTGCGAGAACGAGGCGGTCTCGGAGGACGCACTGCAAACTCTACTTAAAGCCAAGCCGGATGTGAACGCTGTGGATGGGGTAAATCTTGGCAACTTTGCTTATTGATGTTGCTTACTTTAACTAAGCTTGTTGATGATATGTTGGTAGGACGGAAATTCCCCACTGAATTGTCTAGCTGAGAACCCCTACGTTACTGAGCGTATGTTCAGCCTCATGCTGGCGGCAAACGCGAACCTCAACATTCAGAACCATGTACGTTTTTCTTTTCGATTGTAGGTGTTGGCTTAGAAGCTGAAGTGTCTTGGATCCGTGTTAGTTTCAATCAACACCAGTTTACTACGTCTGCCAGAACAGGCGCGTGACGCAGCTCATGATCCGCGAGCTCTTGCAATACAAAGCCAATTTCAACATCAAGAACAACGTAAGCGTCAAAAATGAAGTAAATGGTTTTCTGTCACTCTGATCTTTATGCTTTGGTAACAGATTGGAAATACCCCCGTCCACTACCTTTGTGAGAATGACATTGTGACGGTGGAGATGTTGAAAGAACTCATGACTAACAAGCACGTGAACGTCACTATCACCAACTCGGTCCGTTAAAATTGTGAGACGTGCCCGTTGTGCTACTTACTAACCTGTCTTCTTTCCACGCTCTTGTTATTGCCATGCTCAGCTTGGAAAACAGGCAAGTGATTACATCCCGTCTCGAAAGCACGACTGTCTTGCGTTCCTTCAGAAGTTCACTGCGCCTAATCTCGATCGTACGGGCGGCAACTCAAGCGCATCCACTGAAATCGGTGGCGAGGATCCGAGCGAATTGCCAGAACCTTTGAAAAAGGCATTGGCGGCTTGGAATGCGTCACTGCCGTCATTCGATGCAGCTTTCTACAATGCGATTTCATGCGAAGCGGCTTTTGAATCCACCTACGACGAAGTCCAGGAGGTCTCAGGGCGTGCTTGTGAAGATCCCGGCGATGCATTAATCTTCGCCGCGTGGAAAAAGAGTCTGAGCAAGTGGCGAGCTTGCATCATGTTGGCGTACGCGGCGCTGGTACCGCCTAACGTTTGGCACCAATACGCTGAGCAATTCCAGCGTCCCGTGCCATCTGATCTGTCCAAAGTGCAGAGAAAAGTGGAGGCAGCATGGAAGCAGTTTCCTGAACAGACCCAACGTCGCGGTCGCTTTGAAGCGCTGGCCGGTGTGTTTAACCCGTAAAAATGGGTTGCAGGTCTTTGAAACGGGCCAAGGTCTCGTGAGGTAAAATCATTTTTTGCCTGTATTCACGTCCTGCTTTTTTTTTTTGCTGCTATTAGAACATTTTTCAGATGAAAACGAGTTTGTAGTCGCCGCAACCAACTTCGTCCTTGTACTTCTCAAACATCTCGCGAAGCGCAGTGTAGTACTTGGCTTGGACTTTATTGACGTCGTCTTGGGTGGATTTTATGATATGTGGCACCTCCAGAGGTTCTCCAACGACGATAGGAATGTGTACCTTGCGCGGAATCGGCAAGAATCCACGACCGTAGGGAAAGAATGGGAATGGAACCGCGAGGTTTTTGACGAACCAGCGTTGCAACTGAGGAGCCTGAATGTTGTCCAGCATCTCGCCTTCGTTGAAGCTGAGAACTGGGACCAATGGCACTCCATGCTCGATGGCGAGGCGGATGAAACCTTTGTGATGTGTATACACCCGAACCTCTTTCTGACCAGATCGCTGCTCTAGCATCTCTGCTTGACCGCCAGGTACCAGCAATACACTCTCGTTGTGCTGGAGTGTATATGTGAAGGCTTGCCGGGTAACTTCTCGTGACCCCAAGAACTGAAGAATATCTCGAGCAAGCGGTAATGCATGCATGATACTAGCCGTCAAAATGTGCGCGTAAAAGTTCGGGAACAGTTCTCGCCATTCGGTGTTGAACTGGAGCCACATAACTGAGGTCGGTGTGATACCGTGCGGGTGAAAGCTTAACACATATTGCTTCTTGGGATCGAGAGGGGCCATGCGAATGATCTTTCCGCTGAAGTATCGCTTGACGGTCTCAATGAGGAAGCTGTGACCAGCAATCCAGCTAAGCCGCTTTCTACAACCCGTTTGATGCGGGTTTCCACGATACGTGAACTCGTACATATAAGCTGCGATGCTGAGAAGCAGCACGGGAACGAAAGCCTCCATGTCGTAAATGTAATGCCGATAGGTGGCAATTGCAGGAAAACACGTAGTGACAATCTGGGGAAGTATATACTTGACGTGGTAGCGACTAACCTCTGTTCGCAGGCCATTGCGTGAATCTCTGATGTACATGTGTGTCGCTATCGAGCGCGACATCAGCATTGCGCCTTCAATACTCCACGCCATCAAGCCATAGTAAAGCACGTCTGAACGATTTATATTCGTTGTAAAAGCGAACAGTGCGAACATGAAAATGTTCGGGATGAAATAAATGTTGGCTAGTACTGCGATGACCATGACTCCAAGGCATTCATCAGCGAAGTCATGCAGTCGTTCATAAAAGCTCGTAGTTTCGGGACGTTTAAGTGACAACATATTCTCATCCGATGTTCCAGATAGGGTAGCAGTTGATCCAGACTTCTGGAATACTAGTAACGACATCATCATGCCAATCTCAGCCAATACAAAAAGAGATCCTGCTGCAGCCATGATCCCCACAAACAATTCCAGCTCCACAACAACCAGTGAAAGCAAATACAACACCTGGAGAGCAGCCCCAGCACCAAAACATGTCCAGGACAC